GCAATAACCCCGTGAAGCCGTGGGTTACAGTGAATTTATAACAGCTAACAACGCCCCTTAGCTGTTATAAATTCACTGTAAACCATGGCTTCTTGGGGCTTATTGCTTTAGTATACATATATAATATTCAAATTAATATCTTAATTAATACTTGATGGCATTATTTGATGACTGCAAATACAGCCCTGAAATCTGTTTTCGATGTAAAAAAAACAACAGTTTCCATCAACCATGACTCAATGCTCCAATGAATACAAATGCATTGAACTCTTATGACCTTTGACCTGTAGGTGCAATGTCACAATCAGACGGGTTACTGCTGGTGCTCCTCTCCTGATGGGATTCCTATGAGCGGAAGCTCTGTCTTACACCTGCGGCCCAACTGCACTGGTGAGTCCTGTTTGAGAGCACAATCAACTAGTGATACAATATAAACCGTGGGCCTTATTCAGGATTCTCTAAACCACTGGACTTCGAGTAATAAAATACAGTGAAAACATCTCTAGATCACTAAGAACAGCCTAGCACTGCAAGTTTTGCACGGGCAAGCGTCACTCACATTTTCTTAACAAAATTCAAAGCAGTTTAATAGTTTTATCACTCAATTATGTCAATCTGTGTTGAAGGTCAGATGTCAGATATGGCTCAGGAAACTGAACAAGAATTAGCACAAGCAAGTGAGAAGAACACACACACACATACACAATTAAATAAGTGTCCCAGTATCTGCCATGTTTCCCCTCTGGGTTTAGAGCGAGGGGTTCAGTGGCGCTCCACTCCAGACCCTGAGCAGCGCTCTGCTCTGAACACTGCAGGTGAGCATTCAGTGTCAATTACTTTATACTTATACTTTATATTACTATTCATATATATATATGCCATTAATGAAAAATCATTTTAAATTCAGGAGTCACAGTGCCTCCATTTTGGGCAACAATCCTTCTGAACTCTGACCCGAATGGAAACCGTTCTGTCAGGCGACCCGCAGGTGAGAAGGAGAGACGATTGAGGCTTCATCTGAGTGTTTTGAAGACTGAATTTGTTTTGTGTTTTACTCTGCAGACTCTTTAAAGACCTGCAAACATGAGCGAATGTCTGTGCTCACTGAAGCGGCCATTCGAGGCTCAGAAGAGCGTTTTGTCCCAGAATGCAGTGCAGATGGGAGGTACAGAGCCGTTCAGTGTCACAGCAGCACAGGATACTGCTGGTGCGTGAGAGTGGATTCAGGGCGGCCCGTCCCGCGCACTTCAGCCAGGTAGGGAGGTTGTGTGTGTGTGTGTCTGTGTGTGTATTAGTGAGTGTAGAAAACTCTACATGATTCTGAACTGTGTGCAGGAACCAACTGCCTGACTGCAGCGCTCAGGAAACACACACGCTTATCATCAACAACAGCTACACACACACTCCTCTCTCAGGTCAGTATTAGAGAAGTGACATGCAGAATGGGAAGAATGTCAAAGCAACAAATCCTGTAGAGGGAAAACATGCATTTACCCTTTTAAATCTAGACATGACCAAGTTGTTTATACAAGGTATCATATAGACCATATGTGGAAGCTTGTTTCCGCAAAGGAGTAAAAAAATAAAAAGTTAATTTTAAAGGTAATATCTAACCGTTCAGAATTTTTATCTCACAATTTGGACTTTTTCCTTCATGATTCTGAGTTTATATCTCACAAATCAGACTTTTTTCTTACACTGCTGAGGAAAGATTGTCAGTAACTTGGAAGAATTGTGAGATACAAACTCAGAATTGAATGAAAAAGTCATCATAAAAAAAAATAGCGAGATGTAAAATTAGAATTGAGTAGAAAAAGCCTGAATTGAGATGCAAACTTATAATTGCAAGAAAAAATCTGAATTGTGAGATATAAACTTAAAATTGTGAGAGAAAATTCTGAATTGTAAGATACAAACCCAGAATTGTAAGAAGAAAAAAAAAAGTCTGAATTGAGATGAACTCAGAATTTAGGTAAACAAAGTCTGAATTGTGAGACATTGCAATTCTTGACTTTTTTCTCAGAATCTTGCAACTGCCAGTTTATAACTCAATTCTGAGTTTATATCTAACAATTATGAACTTTTTTTCTCACAATTCTGAGAAAGTCACCTTTTTTTATTCCATGGCGAAAATAAGCTTCCATACAATACTAGACTCATGGGCATTTATGTTAGGGCGAAGAACCACCAAAATGTCAATATCGCAGCACTAATTTGTCTGTAAAAGGTGTATTTTTATCATAAGTACATTTAAAGCAGCACTATGTAACTTTTTCTGTGTTCAAAATTTGCTAAATGTATATAATGAGCGAGTACATCATGAATTCATCTTCCAAACCGCGTTTTTGTCTTATTCCGAATCACTACGGTACACTTATAATAAGTACTTATATTTGGACTATTGTAGGCTGGTCGGGTCGTCACAGCTGCGGAGTAACACATACCTGCGTGAATCGCCAGAGACATAAACTTAGAGAAGTAGCTCCGGTTGGAATGTTCTTCCGCGGGATGTGTGCAGTTCTGTTTATTAACCGCTAGAGCGCCAAAAGTTACATAGTGCTGCTTTAAAGGATCTTTTATAGAGTTGTATATACCATTTCGAATTAAAATTTTATACAATATTTGTATTAATACAGATTTCTGGCATGAAACTCTAGATGGCGCAGTCCAATAGATCTAACTCAGTATGACATAATGACATCATCATCACATGGCACAGCTTATTGGTTCTCTCCTGGATCGGTAGCCAATAAGCTCGCTGCTCAACATTCAAATACTTAGCTAATGTTTGTGGTAGCAGTTTGCAGCACACTTCAGAAACCCTCCTCCTTCCCCAGCTCCACCTGTATAGATCTGCTACAGGGTGATCATGTATGTTATGGGGGTTATTCATGTTATATGTAGAGCAGCAGTATTTCTTACATGCTCACAGCAGCATGCTGTGGATGTATTGGCAGTAGCAAGTCTCGGTACTTGCTCTGCCGCAGCAGCGTAGCAGATCTATTCCACCAAGACCCAATACATTAACATTCTCATGTACATTACCATGCAAATCACTCCGAGAAAAAAATCTTAGCCTGTTTGACTCTCTACAATATATATATATATATCATTATATATCATATAATATGTCATTTGCGATATCTGTCTGTGTTTGTGTAGGTTGTCCCAGTGTACGAAAGGCAGAATTTCTCAAGAGTTTAATACAAGCATTCCAGCAGGAAGTTGAAAGTGGTGCTTCATATTCTCAGTACAGGTTAGAGATGCACACATCAATTACAGTCATTAGACATCATGATATTGAGTCATCAGAGTAAACGGTCACTCGGTGCATTGATCTGATCCCAGGCGACATTTCAGCGTTTATTTGTGAGTGCAGTTTGCAGCACACTTCAGAAACCCTCCTCCTTCCCCAGCTCCACCTGTATAGATCTGCTACAGGGTGATCATGTATGTTATGGGGGTTATTCATGTTATATGTAGAGCAGCAGTATTTCTTACATGCTCACAGCAGCATGCTGTGGATGTATTGGCAGTAGCAAGTCTCGGTACTTGCTCTGCCGCAGCAGCGTAGCAGATCTATTCCACCAAGACCCAATACATTAACATTCTCATGTACATTACCATGCAAATCACTCCGAGAAAAAAATCTTAGCCTGTTTGACTCTCTACAATATATATATATATATATCATTATATATCATATAATATGTCATTTGCGATATCTGTCTGTGTTTGTGTAGGTTGTCCCAGTGTACGAAAGGCAGAATTTCTCAAGAGTTTAATACAAGCATTCCAGCAGGAAGTTGAAAGTGGTGCTTCATATTCTCAGTACAGGTTAGAGATGCACACATCAATTACAGTCATTAGACATCATGATATTGAGTCATCAGAGTAAACGGTCACTCGGTGCATTGATCTGATCCCAGGCGACATTTCAGCGTTTATTTGTGAGTGAATCAACAGCATGGATCAAGGTTGAATCACTTGAATTTCATTTCGATTTTGCATTTTGAATCAACATTATCATAGATTAATTAAAGTTCAGTTTTGGTTTATACGTATTTTTTTTACCTTTTTACAACAATTTGAAACTTTTTCAAAAATTGAAACCGCAACTAATATTATTTCAACCACATTTCAATGTTGAAGGTCAGTTTCTGACTCAACAAATGAAATAAAATGTTGTAAGTATGAACATTATTTTTGCAATTCAGTTTGGTTGCTGAAATGACTTGCTTCACATGTAAAACAATGTTGTTATTTTTAACTAAAACTATTAAAAACATTTTTATTAATTGAAACATATATATATATATGTGTGTGTGTGTGTGTGTGTATATATATATATATATATATATATATAATATTAGAATTAATTAGAATAGTTGCCTGTGCAACTGACTGAAATAAAATAAGTTTAAATAAAACTAGTAAATATACAAATAAAGCTAACTAGAAATAATAATAAAACTAATACAAATATTTGATGAAAAACAAAGGCTTAAAAAATGTAAATTAAAATTAGAAATGATGCCTTGACAACTTACTGAAATGAAATGTTTAAACTGAAGTACTAAAATGACTGAAATTAAAACTGAATAAATGTAAATAAAGCTTAATAGAAATATTTTAAAATGAAATCACATACTAAAAATAACAGCTCATTCAAAATGTTAATAAATACTATTACAGTATATAAATAATACTAAAATATCAGTTTAAAAATACAAGAAAAATCACAAAATATTGTTTCATTAATTTATGCATGCACTTTGTAATCTTTAATGATTTTAAATACATTTCTACGTTCTCATTTCTGTGGCAGGTCTAGAACGTATGTTGATGTAGAACCTCTGTTATGACTTGGGTTTTGTGTGAAGTGTATGATGCTGTTCTTGTCTCTCAGGACACCTGCGGCCCGTCCTCATGTCCTCAGCTCTCCGGCCTCTTTCTCGTCTGTTCAAACTCTCCGTCTGTACTTTACGCTGCAGGACACAGACGCTGACGGGCTTCTGAGCGAGCGGGAAGCGCGTCCGTTACGTCTCCTGCTCCGCAGAACTCTGCGTCCTCGCCGCTGTGCCAAGAAGTTCATGCAGTTCTGTGACCAGAACGCAGACCGCCACCTAAGCGCTCAAGAACTCACTTCCTGTCTTGGTATTTAAGGCCGGACTCCATAAATATTGTGCAAGATGAAGTATCTTTGGAAATGGTTTGAGACGTCAGTTTGACCTTCATCTCCTCACAGCTCTTTTGAGTCTCAGACTGCAGCGTTCAATCACTTCACTCTGGGTTTTTGAATCTGTTTCAGCTCTCGCAGCCGCTCTGACCTTTTCACTTATGCAAGTCCAAACACCGCACCTTTCAAATAAAGGACTTGTTATTGGTTCTGTAAAAATAACCACGGTTAAGCCTTTCTGGCCACTGGAGCGGTCGAGTGTGTGTGACTGTGTATTTGAGTGGCTAAGACAGCGAGTTTGGACACGGTACAGTACCATGGTAAATTAACATCTTAATCATTCGGTGTTCATGACATGCAGTAGGATCTGAAAGTCTGAGACCACATTGATAACTTAAATATCTACTTTTTTTATTTAAATTTGGAATTAACTAGAAAGTTTTAGGACCAAATACTAAGAAATTCTGAAATGCATCTATGTCTTTTTAATTCATTTTTCAGCCAAAAAATATGCAATTCAAATTCAAAAGTCTGGGGTCAGTACATTTTTACATTTTTTTTTTTTTTTGTTGAAAGAAATTTATACTTTTGTTCAGCAAGGATGTGTTAAATCGATACAAAAAAGTCATAGTAAAGACTCATATTGCTAGAAAAAAAAACTTTTTAAAACTTTTTATTCATCAAAGAATCCTCAAAAAGTATCACAGGTTCCAAAGAAAATGTATAAAACAGAGAGTTCCGGTCCTTGATTCTGATTGGCTGAGCCACGTTTGAAGCCGTTGTAAATGACACTACAAACATACACCTTTGTTTACTTCTGTGTGTTGCTCGGCAACCACTTTGTTGGAACCACAACTGTTTCTGAGGAACTACATTGTTTGGTGGAAGAATACTGTTTTTATTAATATCATTACACTTTATTTGCTCTGTTTTATTTTGTTAAACCTTACTATGTATATGGAATAACCGTTTTATAAAAGCAATAAGCCCGCGAAGCCGTGGTTTACAGTGAATTTATAACAGCTAAGGGGGTTTTAGGCACTCCGCTTCGCATCGCAATGCCCCTTAGCTGTTATAAATGCACTGTAAACCACGGCTTCTTGGGGTTTATTGCTTTAATTAAGCAGCACAAATGTTTCTAACATTGATAATAAATCAGAATATTAGAATGATTTCTGAAGGATCATGTGACACTGAAGACTGGAGTAATGATGCTGAAAATTCTGCATGGCATCACAAATATATTTTGAAGTATATTAAAATAAAAAATGTCCATTTAAATTGTAATAATATTTCACAATATTACTGTTTTTATTTTGTAAATAAAAATAAATGCAGCCTTGGTGAGCAGAAGAGACTTGAAAAATCTTACTGATCCCAAACTTTCAAACGGCATATACTATATGCCAAAGTACCTTGGTATAAGTGTCATGGTTTTTTATAAAAGCACAATAAAGGTGTTTGTCTTGAGTTTTGTGTTTCTTTAAACCTGACAAGCCTTAAGGAGGTCAAAACCACAGAAAATCCTTGAATATGAATGAAAGAATCATAATAATGTGACTCAGACACCCTTGACAGGTGTAAAGATTTTTAAGCCACATTTACACATTATACTCATTTACTCCAGTGTGTGTTTGCTAAGCTCATTCTATATAATATGTCTGTGCATGTGTTTAAATGTTGGTGTGTGTTTGCTATTCCATATTGTTGTTGTTTTTTGTATTGTACACTACTAACAGCTTACCTGACTGAATGTGTTTCTCCTGATCTTAACGTTTGACCTGCTTAGTTGGATAGTGAAGTAAAAGCAGCAGCACCAAAGCACATCCCTAGGTGGCAGTGCAACTCTAGTCCAGATCTGAGTGATTCTGCATTGAGAGACTGACTGTTTTTGACTTTTGACTATCAATTTGCTGCATGCATGATACAATTTTGAAGTGGCTTTGCTTGACGAGACATTTGGTAGCAAGTAAGAGAGATATTGGTTGCTTTGTCATAATCATAAAAACTGTTGTTTTTGAAACACCTAAAAACTGGGCTGTTAAGGTTACAGACACTCCTTCTAAATGGGCTCCCTTTATCACCCATTTCACCGATTACTAGGGATGTAACGATTCACTCAACTCACGATTCGATTCCCAAACAAAGATGCTGCGTACATGCAACATGATCAGTTTTTAATCTAAATTAGATTGTATAATTTCGAAATTTGAAGCAAAAACAGAATGGTATGACTTCAGTTTTGTGAAACTACATAAAAATATCTGCATGAAACTGCGGCGCTGAACGAGACGCAGATTCACTCTCTGCCAGCAGGTGGCGCTTTAAAATAACAAAATTTAAATATAATGTAAATGTAAATAACAAAACTAAATTGAAATCCAAATCAAATACATAAGTAACACAAATAAATCTCTTCATATAACAAACTTAAGGCTTTGTCTGTGCTCTTTCCATTTAAAATTAGAGGCAATCACTGCATTTTATTACTACTAAAAACCACTGAAAACAACTTATACTACACTTATATACAAACTAGAGAATATAGACAACAGAAAGATAAACAAAAGGTAATACGAACACTCACCAACATGCAGCCAAAACTGGAAAAAAAGGTTTTATTTCATTAAAAAGCAGAGCATACAAAGAATATATACTGTATGTTGTAGTAACCTGCATCATGTCTGGTACTATTAGCTGAAAAATAACTTTTAAAACATCCAAGGCAGCAAATATTGAAACTATATCTCTGCCATCAGGATTCTAAACAGATTTCACAATCACATTCATTCATTTCTTGTTTGCATTTAAGCCAGGTTGGGATTCGTGAATCTTATTCAGTTTCTTCAACAGTCTGGGATGTGCACAGAACAGTTTGTTTCTGATATGTAATCTGAAGAGCAGTAAATACAGGAGCACATGATTCATATGTCATTTGTGTTTGTATGTTAAACACTCACATCAATGCATCAATGTGGCAGGCACCATAGTTGCTCTGTATCTCACATCTGGAAACTAATCGAAGAATGCGCCTTGGGATTTTCTCTAAAACGGTCACAGCACCTGGGAGGGGGATATCCTGGAACAAAGTCAAGATTCACTATGTCTGTATTTGTGTCCATTAAATCCTCTTAGAACAAAACTTGAGCTCATGTCACATTTCATATTTAACATTTCATATTTCAACATTACATTTTGTAATTTGCAACAACACAAATTCATAAAGGGAGCAGAAAGAGTACAAATTAAAGCAGCACAATCTAATCATCATTATCATTTTATTGCTAGCCTGAAGAGCAGGGGCGGATTTAGTGAATTAGGGGCCCATACATATGCACACATTTACCTAGATCAACTTTGAGGTTCCTTTTTTGTTGTGATGCTTGAGATACAGGTTTTCACAAAAACAAAATAAATTCTGAAATAATAAACCTCACAATTGAGCCTTTAAATATATATTTTTAAAGGGGTCATATGATGCTGCTAAAAAGAACATTATTTTGTGTATTTGGTGTAATGAAATGTGTTTATGCGGTTTAAAGTAAAAAAAAAACAACATTATTTTCCACATACTGTACATTATTGTTTCTCCTTCCTGCCCCGCCTTTTTGAAACGCGTCGATTTTTACAAAACTAATCGGTCTGAAAAGCGAGGTGTGCTCTGATTAGCCAGCTATCCAGTGCGTTGTGATTGACCGAATACCTCAAGCGTGTGACGGAAATGTTACGCCTTTATAAAGAATATCTCTTTGGATTTGAGACTTTAGTCTTTGTAACTTTACAGATCTTCTTTATGCACCAAGAGCTTGTAACACTCCAAAGAGAAAGGAACATTTTAAATCGCATCATATGACCCCTTTAAAGAAAAGGGATGAGTCAGAAGTATAAATTATTATATTACTTTAAAACGGGGTTATGTGGGTGGGTTTTCACATTGGACTGACTCTGAACAAAAATTAGAGACTGGATTATTGAAAATGCACATTCATTCTGCACCAGTAGGAGGCGCTTTTGGACGTCAGAAATATAGCCGTTTCCCGTCACGTCTGTAAACAAAAGCAGCGCTCTGCTCATAAACGCTACTTTCTCAGATAAAATGAAAATGCCAGCGAAACTTTTCTGAAGACAGTCGGTTCCCTTCAGAGATTCATTCATATAAAAACTTGAATTAGTGACAATGAGAAAAGTCCACTGACGAGTTACCAGCGTAAACCTGGGCTCCCAATTGCTTACTCTTTCCAAAGGCTGTCTAATTTTAAACTTTAAAATACATTTATTTTTTAGTTATTTTAACTATAACATTTAAATGAAACTGAAAAAAAAAAAAACATAATGAAAAGAAAATACATTTACACACCAAAGGATTATATCAACCAAAAAAGTGAGATGCTACTTGGGTCCTTATAAATGAGCAAGCGGCATTTAAAACAAACATGCACGCTGTTGCCCAATATTTAATTACAGCTTCAAATGCATGATATTTTCTTTTGCCACAAGCAGAATACACAAAAAGCATGTTCAACTCAGACACATCCGCGCTTAATGCGCATCTCGTATATGAAAAATATTTTAAGGGGCCCGTGGCTTTTGGGGGCCAAAGACGGTTGCCTACCTTTGCCAAATGGGTAAATCCGCCTCTGCTGAGGAGCATCATGACAGAATGTGTCAGGTTTAGGCTGTATTGGTCCCAGTAGATGATTCTGAGCTTCAGTGCTGGTGAGGATGATGGCGATGCACATGAGCAGCAGTAAATATGTTGCTTTGGGCCCCATGGCTGAAACAGCAATGAGAGGGAATACGACGTTTACACTAGTGTTTTCGTTTTAAAACGCGTAACGTTTGCTGCGGTTCTTCCTGGCTTCCACACTACTCCAGAGTATTTTACTGTTTGATTCTCAAAAACGGAAATGTTTGGAAATGCTGCAGACCCCGTTTTAGACTCAAAACTCTGGTGTTGTGTAATATTTAGTTCCTGTGAAAAACTCTTCCAGTTCCCCTATTGTGGCCGTTGAGACCCTTAAAAATATTAAATGTGCTTGCTAACCTAACGTTATCTGAGCTCTTTGCCAGAATAAGTTACAATGAGAAGAATATTTACAAATATTATGTCAGCTCACCGTTAGACATGATTATGAAACTTCATGAGACGATTTGTGTTTTTACTTGTATATCAGTGCTGTAGGGCTTGTGCTTCAATGCTCAGACTAAACCAGTAGATTCTGTTCAATTTGATTGTAATGTGTTCATATTAAAAGTAGTGAATAGAATTGAACAGTCTGTATTTGTATCATCTATATCTTTTTTTTTTTCAATCTACATTATGTTGTCAAATCCATCTCTCCATCTTTCTATCACTCCTACCATAATCAGATTTTGTCCTGTAGGTGTGCAGCGGGGAGAAATTGGACATGAATAAATCATAAATCTACTTCATTTCTGAAGCCAGATTCAGTCTCCCTGTTAAGATCAGGATAATAAGCACGTTGAAGGACTGAATTAAATAAAGTGTGAGACAGAGTGATTTGCAGCACAGTTCCTGTTGGAAAAACCAGGTCATAGCAGCTTAAGGTGGTCAGGTTAGTTTCTAGAATAACAACCAATAACTTTTATGTTTCTGCTCTTATGTGTTCTGCTAAATAACCAGCTTAACCTTGGCCCCAGTAGTTTGCAGTTTAGAGAAAGAACTCACTGCCCAGCTGAACCAAAACCAGATAGAAACCCACATATATAATGGTTTAGAATGGGAAATGTATGTGTTTTAGTGGAAACTGTAATGGTCCCTACTGGTAAATTGTTTGCCTGTATTGGTGCCATGTTTAAACCGCTAAATCCTAATTTGGCCCAAAACACACCGCTGGACAGGGTTGCCAGGTCTGTAACAAAACCAGCCTAAATGCAAATCAAAAATATCCCAAAACAATCCCAGTGACCCTATCCAAATATCAAAACTCAACATATGCCACTTCCATGCCTAAAATATATATTTTACTTTCACTGTGTGACATTATAACTCCTGTGATGATTTCTACTGTTCTACCCTTTTTTCTTTTCAGCAAGATGGATTTGCCAAATCAGGTAAAACAGACATTTGAAAGTTATATAGTAGCATGTAAAAAAAAAAGTTTAAAAAAACATGTTATGTAGAATTAGAACGGTTCAGTATATATTTTTAAGTTGGCAGCAGGCACCGCCATTTGTAACTTGGATGTTTTGCAAGACTTCCGGTCTTTCTAGTTATTCTACCTGTAGAAAACAGCCTGATATGTTGCTAACTGTTATTTGTTTTCATATTATTTTAATGTATTATAAACATTATAAACACACTGGTTTGTAGCTCAAATAGTTTTACGCTGCACATCTTCCAGTTTTACTAGCGGCTAATGAATGGGAAGTCTCCCGCATTGAAATAAAACAGTTTACTTCCGCGTTGCATAAAAGGTGGATATACTTTTTTTTATTTTTTTTTTAAAATCCTCTCAACCTTTAGTTCTGAATTCTTTTTGGACGGTTCAAAAGTCCTCCAAAAGTGCTTCATAATTTAAACCCTTTTCTCATGAAAGCAGTTTGAACAGCGTTTGACTTTAGTCGGCTACAGACAAGTGGTCTTTTCCACCGTGTTCTCTGTTCAAACGAAGGGAAATGAAGTGGACACACAAAGGCTAGTGATGGAGAATAGAGGAATAGAAGGGATTAGACGAGTGTCGAAGCAGTAATGGATGTGTTGACGTGTCGGAGCTCGTCCTCAATTACGGCCTCTTTATGAGACCTCACGCCGAGTTGTGAGAGGATTTTAGCAGTCTTTTAAAATCCAAAGTCATTTATGAATGAAAAGAATGAGGTACTATTGACGAGAGAGACATAAAATCGTGTGAGATCTTCCTCCATATAGAAACGCGCCCACACACACACCTCATGCCAATGGTGTGTATTGTCTGGCTAAATCTATCATCTTTTGTCGCGGTTCCTTCATGCTTGACGCTTTAGAGGAGCTGAAATTGGCTGTCAGTATTCTGGTCCTGGACTCGGAGCTCCTAATGGAATAAATTGGTTCCAAGATGTTCAATTTAACTGTGACCCAACACCTCGGAAAGATGATTCATCTGATATGCAAACCAGAGCGTGACCAACAGGCAAGAAACGGCAAATGAACTGCTCTCTCTCTCTCTCTCTCACACTCACACACACACACACACACACACACGCAGACAAGAAGGTTAAGTGCATATACAAGGTCAGCTACATGATTTTACTAATTTGCTGATTGGTCTCGACTGTGCAACGCATAGAAACAGTGCTACTACTGATAGTTCAGACCTGCTGTAAACTTGTTTACTGACCTAAACTGGGGGCTGTTTCATAAAACAAGTTTACCAAACAAGCCAGGCTTACTTCAATTATTCTGGCTTATTTTGAACCAAATCAACTGACAATAAGTCAGACTAACTGAAATAAATCTGGCTTATTTGATGATCTCAGATAACGCTGTAGTCTCTTTCTACTGTACTACAGGTATTTATTGCCTTAGCCAGTGCTTGTGAGGCATCTTCACCATCAAAGATAGTATTTGTCTTCTCTATAAAGTGGCTCCATGTTTGAAATGAATGCTGCTATAAACTCAGTAGCTATTTTCTTTCTTTCAGTTAATTAAAATTGGCTGACAGGCCACCATAAGAGAAGTAAAAAAATTTGAATTCCAGCAAAATTGTGAAATATTATTACAATTTAAAATAACTATTTTCTGTGTGAAAATATTTAAAAATGTAATTTATTCCTGTGATGCAAAGCTGAATTTTCATCATCATCACTCCAGTCTTCAGTGTCACATGATCCTTCAGAAATCAGTATAATATGCTGATCTGCTGCTCAAGAAACATTTATGATTGTTATCAGTTTTGAAAACAGTTGTGTTGCTTCATATTTTTGTGTAAACACATTTTTAGGATTCTTTGATGAACAGAAAGTTAAAATAGAATTTTTGTAACACTCTGTTGACTGTCACTTTTGATCAATACTGTATAAAATGTATTAATTTATTACAAAAATCTCACGTGTATATATACACACATATTTAATTATAGTATAATTATATTTTAAATATTGTAGAATTAATTAAATTATATATAATGAAATAATTGTTATATAATAAATTATAATATTATATTATATC